TTATTCAGTAAGAGAGTCTAATGAGAATGGGGAGAAGAGAATGAAAAGCTTTTGAGGAAACTACAAGAAGATTCTAAGTAGCACCTGTATTGGGATGGTGGACTGAATGTTGGCCTTTAGTGGTAGGTACAGGTACGGTTACAATATTAAAAGACATTTGGATAAGTACATGAATAGGGACGGGTTTGGAGGGATATGGGCCAAATGCAGGCAGATGGGATGAGTTTAGTTTGGGAACATGGTCAATGTGGACTAGTTGGACCGAAGGGTCTATTTCTATGTTGTATGACTCTATGACTTTATGAATGAATTATAAAAATAGGGAGGCTTTGCCAAAATTATACAAGGCATTTGTCAGACCATAGCTGGAATACTGTGAATGGTTTTGGGCCCTTAAAAGAAAGATATACTAGCATTGGAAGCAGTCCAGAGAAGGTTCACTAGGTTGATACCAAATATGGAGAAGGACTGTTATAAGGAGAGGTTGAGTAGGTTGGGCTTACACTCACTGGAATTTAGAAGAACAAGAGATGACTTTATTGAATTATACAAGATTCTTGGAAAACTTGACAGGTCAAGTTGCCTCCCCTTGTGGGAGAGTCTAGCACCAGAATAAGGGGTCACACATTTAAGACAGAGATGAGAAGAAATTTCTTCACTCAGAGATTAGTGAATCTGTGGAATTCATTACCACAGAGATCTGTTGAGGCTGGGTCATTAAGTATTTTCAAGGCTGAGATAGATTTTTAATCAGTAAGGGAGTGAATAGTTATAGGGAAAATGAAGGAACGTGGAGTTAAGGCTTATTAGATCAACCATGAGCTCATAGAATCATAGAATACCTCCAGTGCGGAGACAAGCCATTCGGCCCAACAAGTCTCATTGAATGGTGGAGCAGACTTGATGGACTGAATGGCCAGCTTCCATTCCTACAAGCTTTAGTCTTATGGTCTTATGACTAAGACCATTTCAGCTGAAGGTAGTTGCCTCAATGTGAGGCGACGGTTATCCTGTTGCAGTGGTGTAACGATGGGGTTACTGCCTCTCAGGTGCTTATCGATGTGGAAAAGGCCTTCTCTATGTATGAGAAGCACCTGCCAGGCATTTGACATGCTGAGGTGTTCACCAGATGAGATGGGTAACTGATTACACCATTCACACGCTGTACCCCAATGAGGTTATTATTAAGAGAGAGGATTCAGATGCTGCCATCAGTACTGCCAGATCACTGTCAGATCACTGCAGCATGATAGTTAGAAGCTAAACTGGAAGCAAGTTTATTGTACTGTAGGGAACAGCACATGTGTACTGTAGACTGAGTCAGGAACTCCAAGGGAGGTTTCCGGGTGGGATCACACCCCAATGCATGGACATTTATATTGATCGAGGTATGTGGGTTACAGTGAGAGAAAGATGGCATATGGAATCTATGATTCTGAGAGACAAGTGAGGTAGGGTTAACCTTACTTGTGGACATCTTTAGGGCAACTTCTATAAATGTCATCTTGCCAGGGATGCCCACACCTTGAGAGGAAATGAAATGCCAATTCAGCTGCCCTCAGTTTATCAATTCATGTTCATCAGATCCCCTGAGCTAGCACTCCAGCTATTCCAATCTCAAAATAAATGTGCCCAAAATTGAGGGTAATGCCATGTCATGCTTTGATCATGAGGACTAGGAGAATGGGTTTTGACTGCAGAATGTGATCTTTAAAAATTTATTCATGAGCGTTGTTGGCTGGGCCAACATTTATTGCCCATTCCCAACTGCCTCAATCTAAGTGGCTTGTAAGGTCCATTTGAAATGGCAGTTAAGAGTCAACCACATTGCCATAGGTCTAGAGTCACATATAGGCACAAAAGATTTCCTTCCCTAAGGGAGATTAGTGAAGCAGATGGATTTTTACAACAATGGACAGTGGTTACATGGTCAAATTAGGCTAGTTTTTAATTCCAGATTTCTGCCCCCCATTGAATTCACATTTCACCATCTGCCCTGGTGGATTCAAATCATGTCCCTAGAGTATTAGCCTGGCCTTCTGGATTACTAGCCCATGGGCATTAACACTACACCACTGCGTTCCCATAAAAGATGTTTTGTCCTGAAACCTGTCCTGGAATCTCAGGTTTTTTTGTGCATTTATTAATGAATCATTTGGTAGTATGGACCTTGAAGATTGCTGAAAGGAGTGACGTGCTGTCAAAGCTTTCCATTTTCAGGACAAATGCAAGAATGCTAAATTTCAAATGATCACACTAATTTATACTAAAGGAGGAAAGCGAGTTAATTGGTTGACAAGTCAACTCTGATTGGCTGTTGCTTTCTGCATGATAATACCTCAACCAGTCAATTTGCCAACCAAATCAGCTTCTTTATTTTGCATGGTATAAATGGTTATAATTGTTTGAAATTTGGCATTCTTGTGTTTGTCCTGACAAATGCACAATGAAAAGCTTCAACAACATGTCGTTCTTTACAGTTAGATTTTTAAAAATGGTTTGAATGAAGAGATAGAGGGCAACGTTAAGTTAGGAGGTACAATATTTTGTGAGTAGGAATTTGTAAAAGAACATGGATAAAATTTAATGAGTGGACATAAGATTTCAATGTCAGCAAATATGATAGTATCCAAGTTGAGGTTCAGCAAGACAAAATTAGATATTTTCTGAATGGTGAGAGACTTGAAACGTGGAGCAGCAATGGTATTTTGGGATACAATTCCACAAATGACTCAGCAAAAATAGTAAATGTCCCAACACAGATAGCATAAGTCACAGTTCACAGCCTGAAAGATACATCCATTAATAAAAATAATATATGACAGCCAAAGTCATAAATAGAGATAGTTAATTCACCCCGCTGAATGATAACTATTCTATTGGCTTCTCTTTTCAAGTTTCAACTTGAAGCAAATGAATTTTGATAAGTATTTTAATTGACTTGGAAAATGGTTTTGAGCAGCATTCTGATTTTACCTCAGGATATTTATTCCGAGGTTTCAGCCATCTTTGTCACAAGTTTGGCGAAAATTTTGTTTCCACAAGAAATTGAGTTACTACCCGAGTTCCATGGGCACAGCACAAGCAAAATGAGGAATGCTTTGATGTTTTCAGGATGTAAATTATCAAGATGTAGATGCCTCTCCCTGAGAGTAAATGTACCTCTTGTCCACAAACCTGAATAGACCTGCCACTCAAATCCTTGTCACAACCAGAAATGCCATTGTATGTGGGTTTGGTTTGACATCCAGTCACTTATTTCTGTGAAATATTTCCTGTTCTATGTACTTCTTATATTTAAATTGAGGATGTCTTGTGGTGCAGTGTGTAGCGTCCCTTCTTCTGAGTTAGAAGCTCAAGGTTGAAATCCCACTCCAGGACTTAATGGCCAAGGAAGATGTGTTTATATCACATCCAAACAGGATCAATTTCTACTTGTAAACCCTTCCGACACACACACATAGCGAGTAATTTCAGGAGAGATTCTTGGACAGCCATGTAATGGATAGAAATTGGAGTCTGTACTATCACTAGCTCCCGGTGGCAACATACCTATAAAAGTGCACATTGTCACAGCAACTCAACTCCTTGGAGGGGTTGGTTGGCTTGGACGACTAGTGTGGATCAGATAATGTACCAGCAGCCTATGGTTTGATCCCTGTTTTAGCTGGAGCTGGGTACCATGCTCTACATGTGATGTAGGTCACAGATTCATCAAGTCAGCATTGTATAGCGTGGAAACAGATCCTTCAGTCCAACTCATCCATGCTGACCAGATATCCCAAATTAATCTGGTCTCATTTGCTAGCATTGGGGTCCTATCCCTCTTACCTTTCCTATTCATATACCTTTCCAGATGTCTTTTAAATGTTGTAATTGTACCAGCCTCCACCACTTCCTCTGGCAGTTCATTCCAAACACACACCATCCTCTATGTGAAAAAGTTACTCCTCAAGTCCTTTTTAAATCTTTCCCCTCTCACCTTAAACCTATGTCCTCTAGTTTTGGACTCCCTCACCCTGGGGCAAAGTCCTTGGCTATTAACCCTATCCATGGCCCTCATGATTTAACAAACCTTTATAAGGTCAATTAGGACATACCTTTCAGTAGAGAAGCCAAGGAGAACAGAAGATTGCAGGAGATCTTCATCCAAAATCATTTCATTCAAATTGTTTTATTCAAGTTATATTCTTTTGTTGTTATTTATTCTGCTATCTCGCAATTTGATTGGTTTTTGCACAAAATTGACTGAACTTGCTGCTGCAGCAGATGCTTCCTTTATATTGAACTTTTTTAAGATTGTTTCCATGAACTATACTCTGCTACAAAAAGAAACAAAATAATGGTCAGAGATAGTAAGAGCTGCCGATGCTGGAGTCAGAGATAACACAGTGTGGAGCTGGAGGAACACAGCAGGCCAGGTAGCATCAGAGAAGCAGGAAAGTTGATGTTTCGGGTCGGGATTCTTCTTCGGAATCTTCATTTCTGAAGAAGGGTCCCGACCCGAAACGTCAACTTTCCTGCTTCTCTGATGCTGCCTGGCCCACTGTGTTCCTTCAGTTCCACACTGTGTTGTCTCTAACAAAATATTGGTGACCAGAGAGATAGATGCCTGTCTGTATTTTCTCTTATCTTTACTTGTGAAGTTTGGGCCCTGGGTTTCCAATGGATTGCTCCACGTTTAAGGGCAATGTCCTGCTGTGGTTTCCTATTGCCTCCTACAGGATAACTGACCGGGAAACTCTCCTGTTCTTGCAGCCTGCCATCAGATGTGTTGGAAGGATTTTTACAAAGGACAATCAAGGTGTCTGGCCACATCACAAACATATCTCCCGTTACTGACAAGTCCTGGAGAGGAGCACGAGTCCAGACTTTCTTGCCCAGAGGTAGTGACACAACCCACTGTGCCATGATGTATCCCGTACATCGCTAATAATTCCATACTGAGTGCAGCACAAGTAATATTCCAGTTAAATGCAAATGCAATGTTGGTTACTCACTTTGACTGGCCTCTTGTTCCTAATCTTCTTGTCGTTAATTGTGGAAATTGCTGTCGAATTATCTGAATAAAAATCAGAAAAGCCCATCAGAATGGATTTAATTTGCTATCCCTTTCAAGGTTTTGTGATGAAAGGTAGAAATGGATGTGAGTCAGTTCTGTGAATAACATTTTTATAAAGGGTCAGAAAATCAATTTGGAGCAGTGACCTAAATATATCAATTCTAAAAAAGTGTGTGATTGCAGTTGAGTGCCTGGGAGAACCACTGTAGTGTTAATGGATAAAAGTTTATCCTGTTGGGTCTATGACATAAAGGCCATTAGATTAGTTTCAGAACAGCAGGTTTAAAGTTTTAGTTGAGAAGACTTTACCATCTATTTCTGAGTACTACACTTTTCTCCCAACAGGAAAATCAAGTCAATCTGGGGAACCAGTCACCTCAGCAGAAGTGGTTTATGGCCTGATTTAAGGTCCTAGCATCAGGGTTTGGTGGAGGAGGGAGGATGCTGAGAGATTTCCATCCTTAGCTCTGGCTGATGAATTCCCTCCTCTGCAAATCTCACCCCAGGAACCCTTCCTCCTATCACTCACTTTTGGCAGGCTCCATCGAGCGTACTAGGCCTCAGTCAAGTGTAGTGTTGGCAATAGCCAGCACTCCACTACCCTCCCACTTACAAGTTTAAGAATTAGGAGCACTAGTATTCAGCCCTTCAAGCCTGGGCTCCACCATTCAATAAGATCGACGTCAATCTGTTTGTGCTCTGAATTCCACATTCCCATCTACATCTGATAACTTTTCATTCCCCTGCCCAACAGGAAGCTATTTCCACCTTCAAACTATTCAGGGACCTTCTGAGGCAGAGTGTCTGAAAGTCACACAAGACAGAAAATAAAATTCTTTTCACCTGTCTTAAAAAGACAATTAATTTTAGAACAGTGCACACTAATTCTGGACTAACTCACAACAGGAAGCATCCGTCTGATGTTCACTTTGTCAAAACCATTCAGGATCTTATATGCTTCAATCAAGTCAACCTCCAGTCTTCTGAGGTCCATTGGAAACAAGCCCAGGCTATCCAATCTTTCACCATAAGCCAATAAGTCACATTGTAGTTACAGTCTCCCACCAGCCGTGGTGCAGCAAAGCCTTTAATAGTAGGAGAGGTCACTGCTCTGTAACATGTTTAAATTAGACCATGGATTAGAGAATTTTCATTGAAAATATAAAAATTAGGTCAGAATTTCTGGCTTTAAAATAGTGACTGAGCTAAGGGTTGTCTGTCCTTGGCTCTCTAAACTTGCTTTCCTCTTGGTTACATGTTGCCTTGATTTTTTAGATTCAGTTCCCTGGGAAATTGACATTAATTTGGACTCCTTCTGTTTTTCTTAATCTGTTTTCTGTGTCCCAGTGACAGCATCAGAAAGTACAGTATTAATTTTCATGCGTACAGTGACATCACCCAGCTTTCCCTCATGTCCACCTCTCTCTCGCCCTCTCTACGGTCTCCAGATTGTCAGATTGCTTACCTGACATCACATTATGGGGAGACTGAACTTTCTTTAACCACTGCAACAAACTCCATTCCCTTTCTACCCAACCTGCCCCTCCCACCAACTCACCATCTCACTGGACACTGCATGAGACCAAAACCAGACTATTCACAAACATTGTTGTCATACATTATCCTGGCCACATCACTGCTCCATCATTCAGAGTGTCCATTTCTAAGCTCCGTCTTTGTGACTTCTAGACATGACTTTTCCAGTTTACTCCATACTAGCCTCCCATGTTCTACACTTCATAAACCAGAGGCCCAGAAAGGTGCTACCCACATCCTTACTTGCACCAAGCTTCATTCATCTATCACGCCATGTTCGCTGGCCTACATTGGCTCTTGGTCAAGGACCATTTCCATTTCAACCTTCCCATGATTGTTTTCAAATCCCTTCACAGCCTCATCTACAACCAGATCTGTAATCTCCACCTACCTTATAATATTCCGAAAGCTCTGCATTCCTCCAATTCTGGCCTCTTCAGCAATCCTGATTTTATCTGCTTAACCTTTGGCCTTCAACTGCCAAGGTACTAAGGTCTGTAATTTATTCTCTGAACCTCTATCTACTTATTGACTTCTCTTTCTCCCCTTAACACACTTTTTAAAAGTTATCTTTAGTACAGGGCACTGATAAGACCACATGTGGAGTACTGTGTTTAGTTTTGGTCTCCTTATTTAGGAAAGGACATCATTGCATTAGCAGCAGTTCAAAGATGTATTCCTCGGACACACGGGTTGACATTTTTGCAAATATGGACAGTTTGGGACTTTATCCGTTAGAATTCAGAACAGTGAGAGCTGATCTCACTGAAACATTCACAATCCTGAGGGGACTTGACAGAATAGATCATCGGAAAAATTTTGCCTTGTAGAGCAGGTTACAACAAGGGGGCACAGTTTAAATGTAGAGGACCTGCCATTTAAGACAGAGATGATGAGAATTCGCTTTCTCACAGGGGGTTGCAAATTCATGAAATTTTCCTCCCCAGAGAGTGGTGGAAGCAGAGTCATAGAATTCCTACAGTGCAGATAGAGGCTGTTTGGCCCATTGAGTCTGCACTGACTCTCTGAAGAGTATCCCACCCTATCCCTGCATTGACCATGGCTAATCCACCTGCACATCCCTGGACACTACAGGGAAAATTAGCATGGCCAATCCACCTGACCTGCACGTCTTTGGACTGTGGGAGGAAACCAGAGCACCCGGAGGAAACTCACACAGACAGTCGCCCAAGGCTGGAATCAAACCCGAGTCCCTGGTAGTGTGAGGCAGCAGTGCTAACCATTGGGTCACTGTGCTGCCCTGAGCATTTTTAAAGCAGAGATAGATAGATTCCTGGCTAACAAGAGAGTTAATGGCTACCAGGGATAGGTGGGAATGTGGAGTTGAGGTTACAGGTTTAGGAGGCAGTGGTGTAGTGGCACTGTTACTGGGCTAGTAATCCAGCTAATAATCAGGGGGACGTGGGCTCGAGTCATGGCAAATGATGAAGCTCTAATTCAGTAAAATCAGGAATAAAGAGCTAACCTAATGGTGACCATGTAGTTGCTGTTAATTGTTGTAAAAACTCATCTGACTCCCTTATGTCCTTAAGGGAAGGAAATCTGCTGCCCATACCTCATCTACACATGACTCTAGACCTACGGCAATGTGGTTAACTCTTAACTGTCTTCTGAGAGTTAGGAATGGTCAATAAATGCTGTACTAGCCAGCAATGCCCACATCCCGTGTATGAATGAAAGTCAATCAGACCAGCCACAATCTTATTGAATGGTGGAGCAGGTTTGAGGGGCCGAATGGAGTACTCCTAATTCATATATATGTATGTTCTCAATCAATACCTCCTTTAACTGACATCTGCTTGGGTCAAATTATGCTTTATAACACTCCTATGGAGCACCTTGGCACAGAGCACTAAGTTAAAGGCACTACATAAATGTAAGTTGTTGCAATTATCCAATGCAGCCGAGACCAGTAGTGTGATCCATTCTGTGAGAGTGAGTCTCTCAGGGTGAATCACTTTAACCAAACAAAGGATCCACACCGGATACATTAACTTGTTCAATCTCCCACACATACCGCCTGACTATTTCCAGCATCTTCCATTTTGATTTCAGTTTGAGCGTCTGTAAATTATTTTAACAAAAACTCCATCCACCTTTACACTTCTCTGTTGCTCTTGACAGATTATTAAGTGTGAGAAAGTTTCCGATTCAAACAATGGAAAAGCTAGATTCAAGACCTGAAACCTTCCAGTAAATACATGCTGAGAGATTAAAAGGGATATTGCTTATTTGCATATCTTCCACAAGTAAACTTATTCCAGGAATAATTTCACTTATGTAAATTTATGTAAATGCACTGCCTTGCTGGACTAACAAAGGCTGGAAATTATATTGCGTGAGAGACAGAAAGAGAGAGAGAAGCCCTATTTACTAGGGTTGCAATAAGACCCATGGCTAGGCAGTGAAAACATTTTCTCTGGGAAACTGTGTGCGCGGAAATGTTCCCTAGTGAAAACAAGGTTTGCTGTGAACTGACAGAGCAGCTAGTTTTAATTTCATTGCTGAAAGTTTCGCAAATAGGAGATGGGAGTTTGAAAGTTGCTGGAGTTTGCCTGGCTGTGTGATAAATGAGCAGACACAGAGACAGCCCTCGCTTTTTGTATAAATTCAATGAAGCTTGGCTAAAGGACACCCCTGCTGTTCCAGCTACTGATCTAACATTCCAGAACATCACTGCCTTCTGCTGCCTCTTTAATTGCACATTAATCCCTCCCCCTATCCTTTAAGATCCACATGTACGGTCTTAGTGAACTGCCCAAAGCTGTGGGAAAACACAACCTACTCTGGCCAACTTTGCAGACAAAGAACTTTCTCTCACATCCCGTATCCCTGGATTTTGCTTCAACGAGATGGACTGAAATTGAAAATTCTGTTCTGCAGCTGACTTCACAATTTCACTGAGTCAGTCTGCCACCAGAATGCCTTCTCTCAAAAGAATTTTTGTGTTAGAAATGAGCCTAGGTCTGGTGTTTCGGTTATTGAGGTGTCCAGGGGTAGCAGTAATTTAAGGATGGAAACCTACAGGGATCTGTCTGGGATTTGTGGGCAGGTGGGTTAGATACGTTCACCATATAGCTGACTTAAAACCACTCCAAAACCTTGACCCTGCTACCTTCAACTCCTCTTTATGTCCTGGCATTCTACCTTGGTTTAAAGAATATAAACTCGCATGGCTCTGATATGAATATAATCTAAACTTTTAAACTCTGAAGAGTTAGAGCTAGCTTTAGTTAAGTTGGTTTGTCCAAGAAAACTGTCAAAAGTCAGATTAATAAAGCAGGCTGTGAATTTGTTTTGTACACGAGCTGTGGTTTCCATAACAATTGGGTTTGAACCCGATTCCACGTCACAAAGAGAGACAGAATCACAGAAAGAGACATGCAGAGAATCAAAGCATGTGCATGTGAGAGAGAGGGAGAGACAAATACATAGTATTACGGAGCCTGAGAAATATTGAGATTTGGAAAGTAATACACACACAAACATTGAGAATGTGAGAGGGAAAGAAGGGCAGGGAGACATGTTACAGAGAAAAAAAAAGACTCAAATACAGACAACAATACGAAAAGAGAGTGAGACACAGAAACACACTGAGCTAAAGTCACAGGGAAAGAGAGAGACAAAGTGAGACAGAGACACACACAGATATTGACCTAGGGAAAGAGAGAGAGAGATTGATTCAGAGATACACCAAGAGACAGAGACATGCAGTGAGACAGAGTCAGAGACACACAGAGACAGAGAGACACAGAGATTGAGAAAGCCTGAGCTGAAGTAGTGACAGTGACTTATAATTTTGATAATCAGGCTAAATACCCCTGGACTGGAAGAGGGAACAGAATTCACTGATGCATTTAATGCTGTACAGTTTATTAACCTTACTTTGGAGAGGATTTTGTGATAATTATTTGAAAATACTGCAAGGATTTCAACAAAATGTTGGTCCTTTTGGGTATTTCCTCGTGCATTTTCAACATTTTAACATGGAAACTTGCAGAGCAGCAAATTGTTTCTTAAATTTCACAATGACAAGCAGAAGGTTTCAAAAGACGGCTCACTCCCAGTTCCAAAGCTAGCCTCACTTTCCCCTGGCGTCCCAAGTCCAGCTCGCTCCTGGCAACATCCCTCCCTCTTCCCCCACTGCCCCAGTTACCAAGCCAACTCTACTGCTCCCCAGCTACTGAGCTAATTCACTCCCCATCACCGTGCTAGTGCAATCCCAATTCCATTTAGTGAGATATCTCAAGTCCAACTCATCCACCCCATGGGTTATCAGGCTGGTTTACCTCTGGTTACCAAATGTCCCCTACTCCAGTAACCGAGCCAACTGCTCACCTTGCCAAAGCTTGCAGCATTAACCGGCTGTGTATCATTCTTCTCACAGAAGTCCAGGTAGTGCATGTACAGGGCACTGCGAGGTATACAGACCCCTTCTGCAATCTCATAGTTCTCCTCAAGCCTGAATGGGACAGAAGTGAGTTAATCATTTATCCAGCACAGTCTTCCTTCAGAATGAGAATGTAGTGATTTTCTGAATGATAGAAGTCCCATTATTAAAGTGTTCGTTATGCTATTTTTAAGGAATTGTTTCCTCTATATCATTACAGACAGAGTAAGTTAAAACACGCAGCTCAGAACAAACAGGCAATCTCACATTGTTCAGGATCTAAGGAGAGATCGGCAGTGTTTATATCAAAACCACAAATTGTTAATGATAATTACTGTACCACTTGAATAGTTGATGTTCTGTTAATGGTGGAGAGAGGGAGTGTGCAGAGAAAGAAGTTGAAGAGAGAGAAGGGCGGATAGGAGGAAGTGGAGGGTAAAAAAGAGGGGAGAGATGAGTAAAAACTGAAGGGCAGTTTGGCCTCCTTTGCTTATGAACTCACCATTGCAGAGTGGCCGGGGTTGAGTGCGGTTTCGAGGCCCGGTTGTTTTCCTTCTCTTCATCTGTTAATTCAGAAAAAAATAGAACTGGGTGACCCAAATCCTTCAGCGATGAACTGTTCACAATGCCTCTTACAAACCCTCTCACAATGACACGCAGCGACGAACACACCCACCCCCTACACCCACTCCCCCCACACCCCAAACACAACCCCCCTATACCCCGAACACACGCCCCCAACACCCCAAACACACCCCATACACCCAGAACACACATCCCACACCCCAAACATACCCCACACACCCCCAACTCAAACAATCCCCCCCCCAACCCAAACACACCCCCTACACCCC